AATACGGAAAAGTACAAGAACCAAAAAAAGACTGCCCAGGGCCATTTCACAACTTAGAAGAGCGCAGGATGAAGACGGAACTCTCTCGCCAGTAACGCCCGTCTTTTCTGAAAAGACACACGCACGGACCTAACCTGGAGACAGCCTCTTGACCACAGGTTCCAACTTCTGTAGCCCCCGAAGGCATTAACATGAATATTTCAGGAGACGCTGAAGTTATGATGGTGCGGCTAAGGTAGCTCAGTGAATGCCCCTCCAGGAGATGCTTACACTGACGCCCGCAGCATGAGGTGACTGAGTATATACAGATCTCTGGCATGCACAGGATAGTACATGACATATGTTCACTGACATGAAGTCTGCACATGGCACCAGTGTCGCCCAGACTCCAAATGCAGCAGCGTTCCAAGACCTTCACAAATAGAACACAGGTGAACCCTTTTCTTTTAAAAAGGGACACTGTGTGGCTTGTAAAATTAATCTGAGAGGCACATCACACTACATCCTACTGTTTGCATTACTTAACATTCTGCGTCCCTGCGTTCTTTCACAGTCAGAGACATTTGGTTAACAATTTTTTTTTAAATTCAAGCATATGTTTTCACTGTGGATGACAGCCAGAGCTCTGAGAGCCTTCTTCTCCACTGAACGAATTCATTTGATTATCTCTGTGACTCCTTCCGTGCTGCTGGAATGTGGGCGCGAGTTGAGAGTTTTCCAGGAGGAAGGACAGCAAGAAGGGGTGGTCCCGGAGCCCTGAATAACAATGATCAGCACGAGGGCAATGCTATCAGATGGGACTGAAAGTGGAAGGGATGACGGAAGACAAATAGATATGAAAACTATGCTTCCAAATGTGTTCACAACCCCACTCTGCTACTTTACTTATACAAGCACTTAATATGTATCAGACACATCTCTAAGGCCCCATCTGACGAAGAGTTGAAAGTTACTTTTACTCCATTGTCCTGGAGAAGGGAAAGCACAGAGAGGGAGAGTAACTTCCGACGGTTCACAGCTGTCTAGTGCCAAGGCATTCAAACCCAGGCACCTCTCCACCATCACGAATCATGATTTTACATAGCATGTACTCTAGAATAGTGCCTTTCTTTTAAAATAATTTTATCGGGAGCTCCTACAGATATTATAACACTCCATGATTCAATTCGATCGAGCATAATTGTCCAGTTGCTGCCATCATCATTTTCAAAAGACTCTCTTCTTGAACGCTTTAATATCAGGCCCCCTTATCCCCTCCCTGCCCCACCCTACCCCCCCGGAACACTTATTATATCATATATTATTACTTTGCCATACCGTGTATCATCCAATGTATCCATTCACTGACAATTCTGTTATTTGTTCCCCTCATGTGGGGTTATACAGTCATCATTGCTATCGATTTCCCCTTCATGCACTCCTTTTCATCCGCAACGAAAGCCCAAGTCCTTGGTACGGCCCACAAAGCCTTACAAATCTGGCCACATCTCCTACTCCATTTGTCTATTCTAATCTTCTGCTACTATCTTCACTCAGCTTCATTGGCCTCCCTCCTTGAACTCACCAAATTTGCTAACATCTCCTGCTTGGCCTTGCTCTGGCTGGATCTCTTGACTAGAGCGCTTGTTATTTACTATTATTTGTTTATGATAGAACGGAAACTAGCTGAATCATGATATTTATCACTTTTAATTTGTTTACCGCTAACTTGTTTACTGGAGAAAGGAAACTGATCAAATCATGATGATGCCAATAATGACGTCAATCAATAATATAAAAGTAGCCCCCAAAGGCCACAGAGCTCAGACCTCCTACAATGCAGACACCTGCGTGGAGACAGTTCCGGCCTGGGGTGAGTATGATGGAAACTTAATGTGTGCAGTGGATATTGATTAAAACTAAGTTGATAGAAGTTTCTGTTTGATCTTGGAAGTGCATTCATGGAAATAAGTTTAGGTTAGATTGTTGAATATCTTGATTGAAATGAAACTTGTCTGGATTGCTCCCCTGTTCGAATAGTGTTAAGCATTATTAAATGTCTAAGCGAGTATTGCCTTGAGTGCTTGCGACATCTCTGCAGGGGAATCCTTTTCCCAGGATAGCGTCTTTCTTTTCCTCAGTTTGGGTTCAAAGTTTAATTTACCAGTGAGTCCTTTCCTGACCCTGTATTAAAAAATTGCAAACCTTGTCTTGACTCTTTCACATCTCTCCGGTTTATTTTGTACAACCTTTTATTAACCTATCTAGTGACTTTATTTTTTTCTGTCTCCCAGCAATGGAAGAGTTCCAGGAGGCGACACCGTCTGTGTTGTCGCTGCTGCATCCCCATCAAGCAGCACATGCTCACTCAAAAATGGCTGAATTAATAAACGAGCTGGCAGGTCCCCTACGTCAGTTTTGGGCCATTTGCAACTAGCCATTCTCAGACATCTATTAAAACAAAACAAACAAGTAAATATTCCAGTGCCTTTGAGGTTTTTGTTATTTGTTCTGTTTTGTTTTGTTTTGAAGTCTTTGGGCTTCCAAGACTCTAAATATTTTAATTTTACAAGAGTTTTGTTGACATGTAATTTGCATAGCATACAATTCAATAGCTTAATAATATTGAGAGTTGTACATTCATCACCTCAATTAGTATATTTTCTTTTTTCTTGTACTCATTATTAGCTCCCCATTCCCTCTATCCAATGTCCCCATTACTTTTGTTTTTAACTTATTATCCGTCTTGTTATTTTCCCTCATGTTGAGTACTGATGTCCCAACACACAAACAACACTGCCTCATCCTACCCCATGCCCATGATCATTTATGGATCGGATCATTGGGCTCCATAGGGTTTTTATTGATGAGAAGGAGCTTACCAAGCCTTTCTTGCTAGTCTTTTACTTAGTCTGGAAGCTCTGCTGAATGCAATTCAGCATCGTAGCAACTTGCAAGCCTCCACTGACAGGTAAGCAGTGGCATATGAAGTGCAATACTGAAATCTAACCCAGATTCTAACTGAATGTCCCACACGGACGGTGAGAATTCAACACTGAACCATCCACCAGAACAAACCCATTACCACAGACACAATTCTGACTCATCTCACTTCAGTAACTCCATGGTACAGAATCTAACTGCCCCCAAAGAGTTCAAGGCTGTAAATCGTTACTGAGGCTGACTGCCACATCTTTCTCCCATGAGCTTTTGCTGGCTCAACTGTAGATCTGTCATTAAATTAGCAGCCAGGTGCTTCCACCAACTGTTCAGGGTGCCTTCCTGAACCACCAATGCCCCCTGAGTCGCTCCTGGACCGTAGTAATTCCCCAACAAAGGAAATAAGATTCTTCTTCACACTGCACTACTTAGCCCAAACTCTTTGTCCAAACTCATCACAATCAAGTGAGCTCAAAAAGTCCAAGAGGGTGTTTTCCACTTCCCTGGGGTATAAAACCAGCTTGGGCATCTGCACCAACTCCTGGACTTTTGGCCCAATGAGCTTCGACAGTCAATATAGATCCTTGATCTCGGAGGGTCTTCAGGTCTATCCAGTATACATTAGGAACAACCTGGCGTCGGAGATACTCGTGGAATTTACTCTCTCGGTTGTTAGTGGACTGTTCACCCTTCCCGCGTCTGCATTCCGGAAGATTCTGAGTCAGAACTGGAGGGGTTGGGTGCTGATGGAAGGCAAAGACTGACAAAGACTATGGCTAAGGCCTGTATTTTAAAATGAGGCAATTCTAAGGTTCTGAGAATGTGTGCTGGCCAGGTCACACAGCGAAACAAACACAAAAAGACACATAGTTGGTGGAGAAGGAACCAAAAGTCAGGCTGCCTGGGTCCCACCACTGGGCCCTTCCCACAAACGGCCCTGCTCCGTGCCATTGGGAGGACGGTGCAAGGGCCAGCGCGTTTGGCTTTGCTGTGCACAAGCTTGGAGCCGAATCCTTGTCATCCAACAATAACAAGCCTGCAGGTGCAACCGAGCTCGAAGCCCCTCCACGGTGTGACGTCCCGTAGGGAGTGTGGAGGCGGGTAAGGAGGGGCGCGCCGCGGCGCCACAGGTTCCTCGTGGGTTAGTACAGGTTCCTCGTGGGTTAGAAGGGCGGTGGAAGCGGGTATAGGCCCCTGCGCGGGCCCAAATCCTACAGCCCCTGGCGAGAGACGCAGGAGGCGGCGACCTCACTCTCGCGAGACACGCGACCCAGCAGGCCGGCCGCC